TCCCAATTAAATACACAGTGAAGAAAAAGAATGCTTCTGTAAGCATATTTCTAGAGGAAAAAAATACCTTATTCAACTACGTGACAGACTAAATAAACACAAAGAAATTACAAATTAAGACACCTGGAATAAAGCTACACTTGTCTCACTGGCTTTAAAGAAGTGAAATAGTTATTTTACTGTCCATTTGAAATGTGAAAGGGTTATCATTTTTTCATAAGGGGAAGCTTAGAAATTGTACTTATTCAGGCAAAACACTGTGTGAATTCTTGGTAGATTTCTCTTATAGATCAATACTGAGTGCCTGTGTTTTCCCAGTCTTACTTGCTTATGATTTCAGAGCAATGAGCAAACTTCTCCTTGCTTTGGACTCAGTAATTAATGTAACCCAGCATTCCACAAAGCAGTAGCTCTAGTGCAATATCTCAATATTAACAAATGCATATGCTTTCATGAAGATTTTACTCGTGAATACTGATAAAGCTTATCCTCTATTCTCATGCATATTAAATTAGATTTCAGAGCTAGGGCATCCATTCATTGAGCATTTATAAATGCTAATATATGCTCATTTTGATGAATACAAACAAAAATCAGTCTAAGCATAATTATTTTTTGGCATTAACAAAACATTGAAGGAAAATGGAAACTAAATATTAAATATTGTCGCTTCAAAATGCATGCAACTTATTTACATGAAAATCAGATTGCCTACTTTGCACGTTTAAACCTTGAGGTATTTCTGTTAAGGGACTTTACAACACTCTGCAAGATTTGTTATTTTCTTGTTTGTTTGTTTGTTTTAACAGTTCATAGAAGTATCAAAACCCAGGCATTTCCTACTGATTGAACATTGAATCGTAATTTTCCAAATAGAGATTAGAAATTCCAGAGCACACTCAAGAAGTATCACCAATATAATATTAAATCATTTGTCTAAGATTACAAGGAGATGAAAAGTGATATCAACAATCTCTTGTTTTGCATATGCATGCATTTATAATGCAAAAATACACAGAAAGAGTAGCCTAACATACAGCATACAGTTAAAGAGGTATGGAGATACATAATTAAATAGTACACTGCCTGATGTGCTTTTTAGAACAATTTGTTGTTATATTTAATTGTTAAATTGGAAATGAAAGACAAAGGCTTTGTAATCCACCAGGGGCATATGTTTTGTGGTTTAGAACAAATCATTTTCAGTGGAATTCATTTTCTGCGAAGAACTAGAAGGAGTTGTGTATGCACGCTAAGACTCAATCAAGTAGCTTTATCTGTAGTCCATGAAAGAAGACTGCCTCTTTCAGAGGACAAGGATACGTTTAATTTTAAGTAAAGCATTCAATACAGAAATCAGTCACCCTGTAGGCACACCTCCTTGTTGAGTTCACTATCTTAAATGAGATCCCTAATTTTCAGGTAGTAAAGATGAGCAAGATAAATCTCAAATTCAGCATCCCTAGTCTTCTGTGCCACTATAAGGCAGACACCACATGCAACTCAAAAAACACTCTAACCAACAGCTCCCAGTCTGGATCTAGCAGACAGGATGAGTTTGTTCAGCTCCTGCATTGTAATATAGCACCACAAACACTCAATCTAGAGCAAAACTAATGGCCTCAGAATACTTTAAAAGCAGTTACAGCTGATGATTGACTCTGATAGCAGGTTAGGTCACTGCTTTTCAGATTTATGATGCATTTCTGAATTACAGTCTACACAGCACTCTCGAGTTCTATGCTTGGCTACAAAAGACACTATGCACAACAAGTACAAAGAGTCACATAAAAGTTCCTGGACACATATCCCCAGCTCTTCCTAGAGCCCCCTAAAGAGTGGATTAAGCTTTGTGTTTATCCTGGGCTATTTCTTATGTAATTTCTAATGTTAATACTACAATAGTAGGTTATAATTCTACATAGAATGTCTAGATAACTTGATATATGATAATTCTGTAGTCCTCCTATAGGAGTAAGGTATTTTGGAGGGATGGGGAGAAACAGAGAAATCGAGAATAAACAAGTCCTGTTGAATTACTCCACTGACTTTGCATTATTTAAAGGGAAATGTTGTTAGTACAGAAGTCAGCTGTTTAACTACTGCAACTCTGTATCTTGGCCTGCTTTAAGGGGACTTCAGAATAGTGTGATTAGACTTTGTATCTGCTTGTCACACATTGAAAGAAACATTCACATATTTGATAGTGTAGATTAAACAAGTGCCAAATATTCTATTAAGTAAACTTTGACCTACATGATATGAAATTCTCTTGAGCTGGTAACTGACAAAAAAGGAAAGAAACCTCCAAGGAAATCAGTGTACGTCAGCAAAAAGGAATGTCTAAGACTGTTGTGTGTCCACGGGCAGCACTTTGAAGGTTGAGTAAATACAAGGAACTTTTTGATAACGGTTGGAAGGCAGCACTCAAATTATGTCAGAGAGATGAGAAAGAACTATATGGGTTCACAGTATAGTGACACAGAAGGTCCAGTCCATACTGCAGGCAATATTATTAAAAAAAAAAAAAAGGGAACAAAAATCATATTAAAAATGAAGAACCACCAGCCATTTATTTACCAATACCAGTTGGTCTAGAAATTATCTTAAGTGCTCAGTTACATCAGTCCCTATGTAGAAGAGCACTCAGGCATGTGCTCACTGCTTAACACGTGAATTAGTCCAACACACTATATAGGAGCTTGAACATTTGCCTAGATCTAAATGCATATTTTGGTAATTTGATGAACTGGGACCATCTGATCCTGCAGTCCTTCCAGAAGCAGATGGGCCAAATAATGATAACATCTGTAGAAGTGGTAGTATCTCCTTGTATTCTTTATGTCACTTAAGAGGACATAAAGCAGTACTTAAGAGGACAGCAGCAATTTAAAATCTATTGGTTTAAAATTACTTTATATATCAGATACTTCTCAATCATGAGCAAGACAAAATGAGGCACAGCTCTGGGTATACTGCAAACTAATGACACTCCACACGTTATCTTGACTGCTAAATTTTAAAAGTATTGGGCTAAAACAACTGGATTAACAGAATTCAGAAATAATCTTTAGCAAAAAGCTTGTAATTTATATTATAAGTCAGTGAGGGAAAATAGTTTCAGAAAAAAAAACAAAATGCTGCATCTAAATATTTATAATACTTTTCAGTGATACACAACACACACACAGACAAACCAAAATATTACTGTAATTTGTTCCTGGCTTGCTCTTCTCTTTAGTCTTATGAAACAAATGATTTAGCAGGCAATGTACAATATAGAGGCCCTCAGTGGATTGTAATATACTAAGTAAGCATGTTTTTCTTTTCGTTTAATTTATAGTCCCAGGAAAGAAAAAAAAAAAGACATTTAAAAACCTGTTGTCTGAGTTTACAAAGCTCATAGGGATAGTTAGTTCTTAGCTAGCTGTATTGCTGGCTAAAATGTGACATAATTTACCACTAGAGGTCTTTTCATTTACTGATGTTCTAAAGCCTCAAGGGTTCTTCATCAATGGGTACATGTTTTAATCACAGGGTACTGCAAAATGCAGTGTCGTCTTTTCAAATTGACAGCTGCAGGACAAGTACCTGGATGTCAACCTGGACTTTGCTGTATAAGCATTTGATGTAATAATTTCCCAAAGAGAAACTGAATTTTTGCCTTTATGCCTTATCTAGCTTGAGTAATTCTTAAAACGCGAACTCCTGCCAAACTCTGTGAATAACAGATTTTTGGTCTCAGTGATAAAACTGAAGGGAAAAAGAAAAAAAAAAGGCATGAAAAGAAATTGGTAGAGTTGACTGAGTTACTTCATTTTTTGGCTCTTGGTACAATTTTCTTTCCTTTTTTTTTTTTCCATATTTTTCAGTTCTTAACTAATGTGGATCATTCTGTAAAAGGAAACATTTAATGCTGAAAATGTCAAAACAAAACACTTAATCTTTTCAGAATTTTAGCATGTGAAATCAAATTCTAGCAGAATTTAAAATAGATATAGAAAGTAAGCAGTTACTTACTTTTTGTGAATTTACTGTTCCTTCATTTCTAGTTAGTCATAACAGGGCAAGTACACATCCAACTGGGTTGCATACAAACAAGCCCAGGAAACAGTGGGACTTTAATGTCTGTGTAGTATAGCAGAGAAATTAGCAGTTACTAAGGAAATCATAAACCACTGGGGAAACAAAGACAAAAATATGTGTGTGAGAGTTGTATGAATGAATGTGTTGGCCTTTACTGGAGCTGAGTGAAAAAGGGAAAATATTTGCCAATTAAGTACTTTCTACAGATGCCTGGTGCAAAACACAGGAAAACCATGTTATGTCAGTCCCATTTCCTGTCTTGTACAAATCTATGGAGTATAAAATCTTCTGCTTTTATCTGTTCCATCAACCATCTTCCTATTTTTGCTGCATTTCATCCGTTACTTTGTTACCTTATTTCCTGCTTCCCACTAGCTTGCAGATCTTACAGCCTGTGCAGTTGTATACAGTATTTATTTCCCCTTTGGAACACATTCTGGCTTCACATAGTACCTCAGTGCAGCCTTTTTTACTAGGAAATATTTGTCTACAACACAGTCATGATCTATGATCTTTACACATCAGCTACCTCAGCTGGCTCAGCAATCAGTTTTCATCCTAAAGCTAAAGGGCAAATTTCCTTTGTAAATGCCAGATTTCAGATTCCTCCCTCTCCATTTTCAATGCTAAGACAGCTCAGGAACATATTTTAATAATAATTTTCTAAGAATGCATAAATTTGCTCAAATGCTTAAATAGTGAACACCCATAGACAGAGATAAAAGGTGGCTGTTTCCAGGAATTTCTTTAAAAGGTGCATCTGAGAACAGGGTCTTAGAATAGATACACACAGACAGGTTCTACAATGGTCATTCGTGATTCAGTTAAAATAATGCAACTTGATGATATGACTGCTGCTGAGAGTTTTTCATTTTCTTTCTAACGAAAAAACCTTCCATTTGTGTTTTGAATAGGTAAGCCTACAGGGTATGGATCCAGCAGTAGACGCTTACACCACAAGGGAATAGTGGATGAATGCTGCTTCCAGAGCTGTGACCTGAGGAGGCTGGAGATGTACTGTGCTCCAATAAAGCCACCTAAATCTGCACGGTCTGTGCGTGCTCAGCGCCACACCGATATGCCAAAAGCACAAAAGGTAGGCCAGGTTGGGGGAAATTCACAACTGCTAACAAATAAACCAACCAAACCAACAAAATACCAATGAAGAAAACCCTACGTATTTTAGGGAAGGAAAATTCTATCAGGGCTGGTAACATAGAAGACAATTGATGTGTTCTGCCTACTAGATTTAGTGGAGTTTTGAAAAATAGTTTCCATGGTAGGAAATGGTATGTTTCATCTCATCTCTTAGAACACTGAATAAAACATGGAATTGCTAAGCTAGTAGTTGTGAGGCTTTATCCTGCTATAGGGTGGCAAGTGATAAGTACTCACGTCATCCAATCAGAAATAGCACCTAAGACTTCTTTCAAAAGAGAAATCAAACACTGAATGTTTAACAACTTATCTATCCAGAATCTCTTCACTCGCCCTTCCCTTTCAGGGAGAGGTAGAGTGAGTGCTTAAGAAGGAAAATACCACTCTTCTGCTATTCATCTTACGTGTAAATGAACAATTTTTTTTCTTTCTTCATTATTTTGGATTTTTTTTTATTTATCAGAAATAAATTAAATGGATACTCACTGCAATCATTACATACTTCATTTTAAGTATTTAAAGTTTAATACATATATTCTCCAAGCACTTTAAATATTAATTGATATTTTTTATATAGTTGTGGAGTTCAGAGTATCCAGATTTTTGTTCCTGTGATACTAGATATACTGTAAATATATGTATCAACAAGCCTATAGTTCAGAAAACCCATCTTAGACTAGGCTACAATGGAGTTCATGTACAACCCTCTCTCCTGTTTGAGCTCTGAACATCTGTTTTACATGTTATTTGTCTTCTGCTCTAAGTCTCTATTGATTTATTTTATTGCTGCTTGACCCTGCCTGTCCTACACATATGTTGGCCCCATTCCTGCAGTTATCTGAAAATTTTTGCTTATAAGAAATGGAACTGCATGAAAACCTAATGCTTCATAGGAAGTAAAGAAACCTGTACTGCATATTAATTTCCTTAATATCATCTTTATGAAAAGAACAACTGCAATCATTCCAGCATCCATTCTTTTCCATAAGTCAATTCACAGAATGGAATCCTTTCACCTCTTCCTCAAGAGTTTTCAAACTTTTAAAGCGGTGTCTGTGTGACATTTCCTTGGAAGTATCACCTTAGCCCTTAGTATCTCAAAGGGCACACAGGGCAATGAGTGAAGACTTCTTCAGGTAGAGCTCAACTGTAGACAAGAAAATGCTGTGGTTTATTCCTATCTGGGCACACATAAACTTAAGGCTTGCTGGAAAAGAAGAAAACAGTCTTGGCCAGTGATCTGTGTTCTCCTTCCCATACTTGTTGCTAAGGTGATTGGTAAAACATTCAAGTAAAGGAGACAAGATACCTGCCAGCTCTCTAATGGATCTCCACACCACTTTCCTTGGAGGACTGAGGAATGATGTCATACTTTAGGCAGCCGTCCTCTTCCCAGTTCAAAACTCAAGCAGGAGAACACTTTTCTTGCAAACAGGAAGGACCAGAAGAAAGACCTTGTATCTTCCTCCAGTGTCAGGGGAGATGGTGCTCAAGAGGGGTACTGGAAGTAGAAAAAAAATAGAGTATGTAACAGTAATTGAGAAAGTCTAGCTGCAGAAGAAATCATCCTGGAAATTAAAAATTGAAAGAATCAAGAGGTGAAAAGGGTAGCAAAAGGACAATGAGGAGTACAAGAAAAGAAAGGGGAGGGAATTAGATCAAAGAAGTTGAGATGCAAAATATTGAAAAACTGAATGAACCAAGGTGCATCTTACAGAAAATATGAGGTTTTGAGAAAGAGGGAGAAAAAATAAAATTAGAGAAAAATTAATATTAAACAAAACAACACCTTTAGAGAAACTGTATCTGAAGAGGAGAAACTTGAACAGAAGAAAAAAAAGTCATAAATGCTTCTTGATAGGAACTTGGCAATAAAATAACAGAAATCTGATGAGGAAAACAAACTGAAATTTTCATTATTATTTGTGGATGGAGAAAATTAGTTTGAGGAAACAAAAATGCAGAAGTAGTAGGAGAAACTATTATTCATATTTTTGATAGATAATAGGAAAATACAGAGAATGGACGATAAACAGAATTCATTAGGAAAAAGTCAGGTACATATTCTCATGTAATTTTTTTTCTTTCTCTTTTCTCTTTGCAGTCAGTTGTATATGCCTCCACTAAGAAAGGCAATTATGTTCATACTTTCTTTAAATAGCCTCTCCCAATATGAATGTATTTAGCTAGTTCATAGTGTTGATATGTCACTGATTTTAATTAAAAATAGTTATGTTAAAGTCAAATTATTTTTCAGTTAAGCAATTTTTTTCTGCTTTGGAATATTTTTCTCTCTTAATATTATATGTTATATATGAGATATATATCTTATACATTGAAAATGAATATATGTATGTGAGATAATATAATATGACCTTTTTAAATTTTTCTTATTAAATGCAAGATTTAAGGTAGGATTAAGTGGAATATATATTGTGCAGTTACTCTCAGACTTCACAGACAACCAGTTTCTTATGCCTTTCATATATCTGATATAGTCTTTACTTAGCATCTCCTCATAACTTTCTAAATGACAAATCCAGGATTTGGGGTTTGGTTTAAGCAGAGCAATGGTTTCACCTATTTTTACACTAAGTTTATATTTAGACTTTTAAAGTGCAAAACAAGAGCAAGAAGGGAAGTTAAAGTCCTGTGTTTCATGTCATGGTCCCATCTAGTTTTTCTTCCATTCATCTTTCTCTTCTGAAGAATGATAATAAAAGTTTACTCGAAAAGTGAACTAACTATTAACAGCAATTTGGAAAATTAGTGAGTAGAACTTTGAAAAACAACTCTCCTAGCGAAGAAGTAACTGAGCAATTTCCACAACTGTATATGTGAGGTAAGACTGTGACCTTTCTAAATGAAACAGTGTCACAGAACCAATGTCACAAAGTTCTTATTCATTTACCTTGAAAATTACTACATAAATGTGAATGCTGATAAGGCTCATTTTAAAAATTAATAAAAGAGAATCATACAGTCATTTAGGTTGGAAAAGACCTCTAGGATCATTGAGTTCATTAACCCAGCACTATCAACTCCACCACTAAACCACGTCTCTAAGTGCCACATCTACACATCTTTTAAATACCTGCACAACTTCCTTAGGCAGCCTGTTTCAGTGCTTGACAACCTTTTCTGTGAAGAAATTTTTTCTATCGTCCAATCTAAACCATTCCCGGCACAACTTGAACTTGTTCATGAAGACAGTGCCATGTCATCCCCTTTCATCCCAAGCAAAAGGAGAAAAGAGGTGCACATCTGGGTATAATTTTGTTCTTCCTCTGATTTTCAGTCCTTATTCTGATTTAGGCCCACATGTGAAAAATACACATGAATATATATACCAACAAAGTATGAATAGGAAGCAGATTCTCCCAAAAATACTTTTCCGACTTTATCTAATCTTCAAAATTTAAATAAATACTGAGTGAGACTAAGAGAGAAAGAGAAAAGATATTAATATTTTTCATTTAAGAAAATGCCTTTAGGAAAACAGAAAAAGTATTGCATTATTTCTCATTAATTTTTCTAAGACTGGTAGATTCTTTCGTAATTGGTTGAGTATCAATTCACAGATACATTTACAGGCCAAAGTATGCACAATGGCACCAATCCTAATTTCTGTTGCAACCATGCCACATTACTAAGCCAATGAGGGAACTTTTTGGTGTAACAGATAGAAGGACTTGGACTCTTCAGAGAATTATTTTCTCCCATTGCTTACTTTCCAGCCCTGTTTTTATATTACTGATCACACTGCCCACAGAACTGAAAAGATTTCAAAGAGCCCCCAGAGAGTTCCTAGCTAAGGTATCGTGCCTGTTACTACAAACACTAGACTTTCCATTTATTACCAGTAGAGCAAGAGAATTTTCAATGCCAACATGAGGTTTGGATGTCTGTCCTAATAGGATAAGAATGTTGCTGCATGCTTCCTGATATCCTTCCATCTCAGTTAAATGACCATTACCATGACTGAGGTAGTTGTTATCCTTTTGTCTTTTCTCCAAAGATCCATGCTGTAGGTGAAGGGTTAGAAGTCTGTGTTTCTCTTTTCATAAGCTGATTTATATAAAGTTCACATTTTGCATCTCTCATCTTAAAATGGTGATTTTACTCATCTGGGTCTGAGTATCAGCTCAGAGGATCTGACAATAAAACAAGCATCACAGATGCAATTTTATCTCTAACTACCTTTTCCTCAAAGACTTGAGAAGTGAGGCAAACTTTGACATACCAGTACAAACGCAGGTCTGAGAACCTGATTCAAGCATTCACAACTTTGGTTTTTTGTTCTGTTTTGTTTTTCCCAACACTCTCAGCATTGCATACATGAAATGTTATGCGGGTCAAAGCATTTTCTGGCATGCATGTTACTGCTGCTACCACCAGTGGCACTTATTTGTAGTTATTCATCAAAATGCTGAATCTGGAGAAGAAAATGTTCTGAAAGTAACCTGCCATCTTCCTTCAATTTCAAAACTAGTTTGTGTATCATGACAGCTTTTTTTTACCTACATGTCAGCATTAAAAGCTATAACTGAAACCCTGCTGCATCTTAGTATCTGCTTTATTTGGTTGATAAAGCCATTTTAAAGTCAGTGGTGGAGATAATTTATATTTTCAACTGAGAAAAATATAGGTAATTTTCAATCTAAATACACTTTGAAAGTCACTGCAATGCAAAATGGCTGTTCTTTCATTATAAGACTTTCACTGTCCATTTTATAGAACATGAGTTTTCAGTCCTTAAGAATGGATGACTTTTTGCAAATATAATGTAACATATAACTTTTCCTATATGCTGGTAAACTATCTTCAAAGAGGAGCACCTAGGGTCAGCACTGAGGACAATATTTTATTTTGTTGCCCTGTAGAAAAAAGCTGGGCAGATGAGTAAAGAAATTCCCATTTTCCTAGTTCATTGTAACTGATCTAAGCATTTGCAGAATAAGGCAGGATCCTTCATATTGGCAGAGTCCTGTGAAACGCTACAATGATGATTTTCATGAAAATCAGTGAAAATTGAAGGGCTGATCCATAATGAGAACTTAAGGATGAAAACTAACATACAACTTAGGGAAAACTAAAGATAGCAAAGGTAGTTTTGCAAAAGCTGGAACAGAAATAGGCAATGAAAAGTAGAAAATATGTTAATGTACGGATAAGCAGAATTCTGTTGACATTTCTGATTCCGTATTTGTTTGATGTTAAGGAAGCCATTCTACAGAAATATTAGCAAAACTGGATGAAGAAAAGCCAGTATCCTTCTGAACTTTTCACAGGAAAAGAGACTAGATGATTAATCTAGCCTACAATGGCAGATTCCTAAGAGACATTTCTTCATCATGAATACTTTGCTTTCAACAAGTTTGGTTTGCCAGTGATAAGTCTTAACTTGGCTTAATGGGTTTTTTTACTTGTTAATGGTATAGTTAATTTAACAATTACTAGTACTGATTCTCCTTTCCGCGCCCGTGAGTGAGTACTGCTTCATTTTTATTTCATATATTTAAAATAATAATTAAACTCACATCCATGAGAATCCTATCCAAATCCAAGAAAATTAATAAGCTCTATGTGAGCTCAAGTTTTGTGATCCTTTGCTAGTTTCAGATTTATTTTATGTTTAATAGATACTGAAAGGATATGGAAAAGTTACATGTAGAATAGAATGTTACCTGGGAAATCACTAAAAAACTCCACAAAACTGTATTGCTCCAAATTAGTTTTCATTTTCTTTCTGCCCATCAGAAAAGCAGGAAAATCTTATTACTTTTAAAATTTCAGAGGCTACATTTCCTTATTTTTAGGGCTTTAATAGCAACTACTGCAGTGGTAGAGCTGCATACACATTCTACACATTTCACAGATATAGTTTTTTCTTTTTGGCTTTTCTTAGACAGACAGATTTCAGTTAACTAAGAATTTGATTTCTGATGAGGATTATAAATATAGAGAGTCACTTAAAAATTCTGCCTTTATTCCGATACAGAACGGATGAAGCTTTGGGTCCAGATAATATTTACCAGCATGGCAAATAAGGAAATCAAACTGAAATACATACCTCACACCCATCACTGCTGCTGGAAACTGGTCTGTGCTTGGACTGACAGTGAACTGAGGGCATTATTCATTCCAAAGCTCTCTTGATTTGCCTGGCACATCACCCCATCTGTTTTGAAAATACAAATTATTTGACTGTAGCTCCTACACTGAACCCAAACTTTTTATCCTCCTCAAGGCCTTATCCAACAAAATCCAACATATGTAATATGTCATTTATGCAATATGTAGTTAGCAGAGCAATTTTGAAAACACTGGGTACCATAGCCCAAGAGGCTCTGTGAATCCTTCAGTTACAACTCCCAAGTTCCTCGGCCCCTACACATCCTGCTTTTGTAAATGTCCTTGTGAAAGAAAATCTTTGGTACCTACCGTATGTCCAAGCCCATCCAGGTTGTTGCCCACCCATGCAGATGTTTCCTCTGCCAAGATCAACAGTGACAGCAATCATTTATGTCTAAGAGAACTGGAAATTTAGGGTAGAGAAGTTCTGTATTAAGTGCCCTGTAGATAATTGAACTACTGATTAAAGCACAAGAGAAGGTTCTCCATAGACTATTCCTTGTGAACTGGCAGAAGGGGGTCTAACAATTCCAGCATTCTGGGTAACTGTTTTCCCACTATTATAAGTTTAGTGGTCATACAAAGTATTGAAACCTATCTGTAATAATTTTTTCTTTCTAAACCCCCAGGAAGTGCATTTGAAGAATACAAGTAGAGGGAACACAGGAAACAGAAACTACAGAATGTAAGAACATGCCATCCGCAAGAATGAAGAATGAATGTGCCATCTGCAGGATACTTTGCTGTAAATAAATTATTTGTTAAACATTGGAAGACTTAAAAAAACCTTTGTTTTAAAAAGCTTGATGCAATCTCAACCAATGGGCATTCTCCCAGTGAACAATGCAACTAAACATTCCAATATTAAGTCTTTAGAGAACAGAACATTTTAACCAGCCCAGAGCTAAAATTTCTGTGGTTGATATATTACTGTTTGTTAACCTTTTTTAAATGTCCTGCACAAAAACTCTTAAAGTCCTGTGCCCCTCAAATGCCTACAAATTTATGGGCCTTTGACGGATCCAATTGCACTAAATTAACCTATGAACATTGGCTGCTGGAGTCATTCATCAGCCTTGTCTAAGTGGTGGTTTTTTTATTTGCACTTCTATACAAGCAACAGGCTGTTTGTTTTACAGTGTCTGATAACATTGTTTGTCTACCCCTTCATATTTGCACAGTTTGACATTCCCAGTAACAGCAGCAGTAAGGTAACATATACAGTTTTAAACATCCATTAATTCCATCTGTGGCATTTCAACAGAATATGGGTTATAGATGCATTTGTTTTAAGACAGTTTTTTTCTTCCTTCTCTTGCAAACATGCAATTTATTGCAATTTGTGAGACAAAAGATTTTTTTAAAGCAGTTAAAGCATACATAGGCTCTCAAACCAGTAATGATTCTTCCAGGTAATTATTTTGCAACAGTATAGGTAACTTCTTTCTTCCTCCATATAATGCAGTATGTAAAATTTAGCATATCAATAATACACATATATCAAACAGTATGTAAAAATCTCTGTTTTATAGTACAACGGTGCTATTTTATAGTTTGTTACATGAAAGGGTCTGGCCAAAACGGTAATAGGTAAAAGCAAATGTGGAAGGACAAAGCCAAAGATTAAATAACAAAATAGTCTCAAAACTATTCAGCTTAAATCAACTGAAATGGCTTCAGATTTCAAGATGATAACAACTTTCCCATCCCCGAAAGGATATTCACATACTTGTTTCCTTTTAGATGTTTGAATGGTGGTGTTCTCACCTGTGGTTATGTGGAACACAAATTCATAGATGTCAAGGCCCAGAGAAAACAATTTGAAAAACAGCTCTCAAATGACTTCAAAAGGTAGTCCATCAGTACCCAAATCTTCCAGAAATATCATCATTCTATTCAAACATAATAGAGAGGTACTCAAGTTCCCCTCCATTTTAATTCTTTCCACAATCAGATGTGACCTAACTGACCATTTATTGGGCTTCTGCATTTCTCTGTAAATCAGAAAATCTGATCTAATCACCAAATTACAGTGTAGAAAGAGTCCTCAAGAAGAGATTAACCAAAAAATCCTTACATCCTTACTTACAATCCCCTGTTACATAACTTTGATAGGCACTGCACTGGTTCTACCTTAAATAACACTGTGTCCTATGCTCCATTTTTTTTACATCAACTGAGAGCCAGATTGGCCATGCAGTGAAGGTAGCCAGCAGTGACCAAGGTGAGCAATAAACTTCTCTGTGAGAGAAGGGAAGATTAGATGGATGGGGGGAGGGGGACTGGGGGGGAATGCACTGTTCCACCCTGTCCAAGAACTCCAAAGTTGTTCCACTCGACTTCTTCCCCTCACCTCCCTACATGAGGTAAGCTCAGGCATGGGATGATGTATCTCTTGGTCAGGCCCAAAGGGAGCCTGGACAATACTGTTTGAAGGGAGAAGTTAGGGAGATGTAAGATTAGACCTACAAAGGAAGGATCCCTTTTCAAAGGCTCAAATCTGCCTTCCTTTCTACCACATCCAGGGGACTAGATAACTGAAGTATTGACTAAAACACAAGAAAAGGTTCTCTGCAGACTGCATATATACAGCTCCTCAATAGTTCCTTGCGAAACAAGGTAGGTCTTAAAAGTCTAACAAATTATTATAGTTCCTTTTTATTCCCATAGAAAATTTGTGGTTTGTATTTTTAACAAGTGCAATGTATTCCTATGCAATTCTTTAAACCCTCCGCTTTCTGTGAGATGGATGTCTATATGCACAATAAGCTGCCATAGCAATGTAAAAGTAGAACAGTAAATGAATAAAAAGAATATGTCACAGCTGACACTGACTGAGATAGTTATGTTGAAAAAGGAAGAAAGTAAAGAGAAACAGGTGTGAAAACTAACCTAAATTATTTACCACCAATTCAATAAACAGAGTTAGGAATTCTGATACCTGCCACAGCATCTATAAGCATTTTTTTGATGGGGGGATGGAGAGGGAAGTACTTTTACTTTAATGGCTGTAAGAATTCTGAAATACAGTCTAAGAATAAGCATTATTTTGATGTCACAGACTTAATACATATTTCTATTTCATGTCCCGTGATCCTTTCTGTCTCCTATATCCTCTGAAGTTCTAAAGGGAGGAAAGAAGAAAGATGTGAATGTAAAAAGCAATTTGCAGATAGCTGTGGTGGCAAGTTTCTTTGCAGATAACTCTTTTACTGATGCACTGTTAACACAACTGAATAACTATACATCATTTTGCATCAATTCCTGTGAATTAATTCAAATTTTTTGTCTTATCTTGAGATTCACACACATTCATGCCACCATATTTCTCCTTTTGAGAAATTATAATTAGAAAATGTCACTCAGACACAGCAGTATCTAACATCACAACCTGACAACTGTCTAAACAAATTAGAACAATTCTTAGAAGAAACTAAAATAAATAATGAATAGCTACAAACTTCAAAGGCAACACTTTGCTTTACTAGTGAATAAGTGGTATCACAAAATGGAAAGTAGCTCCAGCCCCACAGAGGTGAGAAATGCATGGATGGGAAATGCATTTTGTATAAGAAATATCCAGTCATATGGCCAGGAGCACATGATATACCAGTTAGTGTGAGAGATAAAGGGCTGCATTAGCTTAATAATCTTAATAAATCCTCTACTTAAAGAAGTTGAAGCATGAGCCAAAACATCTCTCTCCCAAAAGTACAAAGCAGTCTGACTTGAAAAACTTCTAATTAGAGAAATGGAAAGGTTCAGCTGGATTTTCAAAAGCACTCCAGATATTTAGGAACAGAGCTGCCACTGGATGCCATGGATTCTCATAAATCACTTCAATGGTACAGAAGGGCCCACTCCCCATCCTTCCCTATCATCTAAGTCACACGAGAGAGGTAACAGATTTTTGCATTCTAGAGTAGACTTAAAACTCCAGTTATTACATAGAATGTCACTGAAATGCAGAAGAAAAAAAAGTTAATTAAGCCTCATTATTTTCAGTCAGTTCAAAAAGCACTGCAGATTTAAACCCACTGAAGTTAATACATCTCTTTCATCAAGGTAGCAAAATTTGAGCCTCATCACCATAGTAAATGCAATTAATCATTAAGAGTTTAAATAGAAAATGAATTAATTCTTTATTTTGCTCAAAACGTACTTACAAACCTACACATATTTCTGTGATAGACTTGTATGAGGCTCATTTGTGCCATTCAGTCGAGAGAAGAAAATCAAACTATGGGTTATTGCATCCAGTCCTTGTAGAGACATCAAAATAGGTCCCTTTTTTCCAAGGCAGCTTACAGTGTCAATTCCTTTCGCAAGGTTAAAGGGTAAATTAGTGGTGGACTTTCTTTCTAGAAGTGAATTTCATACACAATTAGTAGCTATGTTCAGTTGCCACGTGAGCTTGTTGTTCCCTCAGTATCAATGGTTAAAATGGATTAATGAGGACTTTAGGCCAAGCACTGTGTCTTCTTGGCTCTCCATTTCATAATCAAGTGCAGGAAATGACAAGATCAGAAAAGCGTACACATATTTGCTTTACCTGTTACTGATTTGGCCAACAATGCCAAAGTGGTGCTATTGTTTTGTTTAAGAAAGTACTTGACTAAAATATAAAAGAAAGCATAAATATTTTTTTAATGTATGAAAATGACAATTATATAGGTATGGTTATTAAAATAGAAATAAAATTAGCCATAACTTTTCAACTTTTTGTCACTCACAAAACGGCAAAAAAATCTTGTATCAATGGAGGTGGGCAGGAATAAGAGTCAAAATGCCCCAAAAATTCATAGACTTTAAATGCAATTCTGAATCTTTATTAGAAGTGAGCAATACAGATAAAGAAAAGCGTCAGAAGTCAGGGAACAATGGATATGACCAAAAGCCTGTACAGATCAGTGAGAGTCCTGTATCATACCAGAGATTTTTAAGCCACACTCTAGCCTGAAATCGGTGGAGAGTTTGGCTTAGTCAGTGGCATGATATGATCGAGATTTTCATTGAGAATATATTTTAATTTTTACCTGATTACTTTCTCACTCATGGCATGCCCCCTGAAAGTTAATATTCTTAAAAAAGCCCCAAAAGGCACAAAGACATCTGATTTTAAAAGGGAATAATAATAATAAAGAAAATATTCCTAACAGAAAACCGATGGTTTTTTTTAATTCTCACTAGTTTAAATTGTGAAAAAAAGTTGAAATATATGGCTAAGAGTCTGTGAATTTTTTTTTTTTATTACTTTATGTGGTCACTATGAACATCCTAATGTGCAAAATTTCACATTTCATTGCTTTGTTTTGAAATTATGGTAAGTTAAGCCCAAATAGAGATTCTTGGAACCTATAGGCCAGATAGAATACTTACGTTCTGATGAAGGTATAATCAATATATTTAAAATGTTTTATTTTTAGTCTGAAAAGGAATAGTAATAATTTATTTGGGGACTCTAACTATACTGGTCCCTCTTTTAAGGATACTCTTCAGTGCAAATAAGTCTTCCAAACACCCAACTTCTATTCAAACCCAATATTTATTCCTCCCTCCCCCCAGCAAACCTAGTTAAAACACTATTGCAACATAATTTTATTGTTTGTCTCTTTGTTTGGGGGGGGTTGTTTTGTTTTGATTCACTTTGTTTTGATTCCGTGGGGAGGGGTAAGGAGGAGGAGATGAGGCTTTCAAGTGATTGAGATTTTTTTCCTCTCGGGCACAATCCACATAAAATAAAGAATTTTTTTTAATGAGGTTAAAAATTATCTAATTTGTGTGTGGAAGTACCATTAAGTAAAACAACTTAAGATTAAGGTTATCTTGAAAGAAGGGGAAAAAATTTAACACAAAGTTTTTACCCATTCTAATCCTACACTATACATTTTGCTTCTCATAGCATTGGAATATTCTACTGGACTATAAGTGTCCGAACACACAGTATCTGATATATATAAACTTTTGATATTTTACATGAAGGGTGTTATGGGAATGTCTGAAGCTTGATTACATGTAGTACAGTATAGAGATACCATTCTAGCAGAAACCAAAATGAGGACCTCCCTGATGCTTACATTAGGAAATCTTATACTAGTTGCATAAAGGGTGTGTGTATATGTGTATATATATACACACATATATAGACATATGTATGTACATATGTGTGTATATATGCATATTGTTATAATGTGTGCATGTCTATGTGCATGTGTGTGTGCATGTGCATAGTACGCTTTTCTTCTTTTTCCTGTCAAGTAAAATTTAAAATTTTTGCTTTTTACTCTTCAGATCTCATGGATTATATTCAGTAATCCAACTGGAATCTAATTTTAGAAGAACATTGTATAATATGGGTGCCACAATTTAGATCCTGTCTTTGTTTTTCACACCTAAAGAAATGACCTGATATTTAAACCGTAAGACACTTCTTTGCTGTCATCAGGCAAACATATTTATCTGTTTAAATACAGATATAAAATACTAACTCTGAGAGCCATATTCTGAAAACATAAATTAAATTTTTATCTTTTATTTCATTTTTCTCCAAATTACTTCTGTTAAGTGAGATTTTTTAAGTGTAAGCATCTCTTCAAAGCAAGAATAATGGGTAATACAAACAGAGCAGAATGAAAATTTCTGACATCACCTCAACTATTAATTTGGTAATTATATGGTTTTTGTAAGAA